TGAGATTACAGGAGTGGGCCACTCCAACTGGCCATCATTTCTATTTTGAATTTAAATATGCACGGTGGCTCACGCCTGTAACCCCAGCACTTTGGGAGGCTGAGGCGGGTGGATCACTTGAGGTCAGGGGTTTGTGATCTGCCTGGCCAACATGGTGAAACCCCAACTCTTTAAAAAAATTTTTTTTTAAATAAATAAATATTTTGTAGTCATAAGTATCACCCTTCAAAAATTCTAGATTTCATTCCATGTGCATGATGGAGTTCAGGACATGCTACTCCAAATTATACCACCTGGGCATTGAGTATTTTATGCTAAAGGAATTTGAGAAAACAGCAGAAGCAGGAAAGTCACTGTCACTCTCCCCTGCCCTTCTTCCCTGAAGCTGATCATGAGACTCTCATGTAAGAAGTGTCCTTTCTGTACCCAGATGAATTGTCCTTGAGTCTGAAGACACAGGGACACAGAGAAAAGCCTGAATAAAGAGGCCTGGTTACGTTTTCCCCAATTTATTTTTGTCTCATCATAGTTCTCCATGACTACTCACTCTTCATAAAACCTACTGTTAAAAAAACAACAACTGAGGTTTAGTTGTTTCTATGTGCCTTCATTCCCTTTGGAAGGCACTCCTGTCATGTAAAACTTATTTTAAATAATTGGATGTGCTCTTCTCTTGTAAGTCTGTGTTTTGCTGTGAGGGTCTCAGCAGTGCACCTAGGCTGGGTGAGGAAAAGTCATATTTCCTCCCCTACATGTGCAAATGTCTTCCACTGTAAAACTATCAACATTTTACTGGGGCAGATTGAAGGCAAGAAATTGAATCATTATTCCCCTTTGGATGAACTGAACAGATGAGCTAATAAACTCCCAGTTCCTCCCAGGTAGATATACATCTATAGCTATTCCCTGAAACTCCATGAAGGTCAAACCTGCTGGAGATTGAGGGGTCTTCCTGGGATCTCCCAGCCCAGGAGATGACTGCTGGTGAGAGGATTGCTGCAGTCTCCCTGGGAGGGTACACAGCCACTGGAAAGGATCACTGCTGTAACTTTAACACAACTGGTTTTCATCACATCTGCTCTTTGTGCAGTGTTGCAGGCAAAACACAAGAGCTAACATGAACATGAGTAACATATACGCACTCATCACCTGTGCCTGACATGCAAAGTGCCACACGTGAGGCACAGCTGATGAGTGTGCATATGTTTACTCATTTGGTGCTTACCTCAGGCTGAGGTCACACCACCACCTTCATCTTGTATATGAGAAAACAGTTGCACAAAGACATTCAATAACCTGCCATGGTCACTCAGCCAGCAAAGGAGGATTTGAAAGCAGGAATTTGAAGTGGAGGCAGCCTGATTCCAGAAGACATTCTCAGAACCATTGTATTTATATTGCTCCTAACAAAAGCACCTTCACAAAAATTACGACAGTCAGAAAAACCTGACATAGGAAAATTGTGACTGTGAAAGAAATCTGACCTAACTGACTGCCCCTTGCTTCTAACCTCCAAGCTGCCCTTGTCCATTCCTGGGCAGAGGCCAGGCTAACTATGAGAGGAGTTTACTTCCAGGTCCAAGTCTGAAACAAAGATGATAGGCCCTTCCCTAAACCAACTCCTTCCTTTCTTGGGGATCGGACCTCCTTAGCAAAGCTAACAAATCAGTCACCAGATTGGAAATTATGGCTCAGGAGCCATGCAGCCAGAAGCCACAAGGTTTTTAAGCTCCCTAATTGTGCATATAGATAACATCATTCGTGTCAAACCTAAGTTGGTGTTCAGGGTATTTTTCAGACCCTATCTTATGATGGACTAGCTGGGACACACAGACCATTAAACTGGCTCATCTGCTCCTGTGGTCTCTGTCCAGGGGCTGACTCACTGCAAGTAAACCAGCCCTGACTCCCTGTGATTTTCATCCCCAACCCAACCAATCAGCTTTCCCCATTCCCCAGCCTCCTGCCCACCAACCTATCCTTAAATAAATCCCTAGCCTCTGAATTTGGGGGGTGGAAGATTTTAGTAACAATAAACCACTGTCCTGGTCACTTAGCTGCCTCTGCATTTATTAAATTCTTTCTCTGTTGCAGAAAGCCTGCTGTTCTCAGCTCCATTGGCTTTTCTGGGCAATGGGCAAGATAAAGGTACTGGGCAGTTACACTAATAAAATAGAAACAAATGGTAAGCATGCTTGAAGAGAAATGTAAGGCTGTGTTTTTCTCCTGAAGAAACACCAAAGGAGGAGGAATGATAGGCAGTACGCTGTCCTAAGTATTTTAATTTTTTATTTATTTTATTTATTTATTTATTTATTTTTTGAGATGGAGTTTTGCTCTTGTTACCCCGGCTGGAGTGCAATGGCGCGATCTAGGCTCACCGCAACCTCTGGGTTCATGCAATTCTCCTGCCTCAGCCTCCTGAGTAGCTGAAATTACAGGCATGCGCCATCATGCCCAGCTAATTTTTTGTATTTTTAGTAGAGACGGGGTTTCACCATGTCGACCAGCATGGTCTCAATCTCTTGACCTCGTGATCCACCTGCCTTGGCCTCCTAAAGTGCTGGGATTACAGGCGTCAGCCACTGCGTCCGGCCCATTTTTTTAAAAGATGGGATTTCACCATGTTGGTCAGGCTGGTCTTGAACTCCCGACCTCAGGTGATCCATCCGCCTTGGTCTCCAAAATTCTTGGATTACAGGCGTGAGCCACCACTCCCAGCCCTTTCCTAAATATTTTCAAGATTCTCCTACTGTTGCAGGAGCAGCCATGAGAAATAGAGTTCCCGAACACCGAATGGGGAAGGAAAGGGTTTATTACTATTATCATTGTTAATATTATTAATATTGCAGCCGGGAGCTGAGCGATGGTTCCAAATTACCCAGCTCATTTAACAAAGGAAGGTTCTACATTTATATCGGCTTATACTTTTGGTATTACACGTGGAAGAATCTTAGGTTTACAGCCTTAGAAATTACATATGAAAGGGTTTCTGGTTTACAGTTTTAGGAATCACATAGGAAAGGGTTTCAGTTTACAGCTTCAGGAATCACATAGGAAAGGGTTTCTGTGTTTACAGCTTTAGGACTCACGTGTTAAAAGTTTCCTGGGTTTGATCTCGTTTTAAGTAAAAACAGTCTTCTGAAGTTTCCCCAAGACCAAGCCTGCCATCTACAGGAAGGTGAAACAGGAGGCGCCAGTCGGTCAGTCTTTTCTTCTATTGAAATGCAGTGTGACAGTCAAAGGAGAAGCTGATCTCAGATGCCTGGGTATTTTTCCTCACTACCTCCCCTATATCCTTCTTATCTCAACAACTGCTCCCCAGAAACCTTCCACTTAAACACGATTTCTGCCAGGTCTGGGTTTTTCCTCCCTGTACATTTTCCTCTCACCTGCCCCACACCCCTCTTCCATGTCTACTCTGTTCTTTCACTTCCAGATCATTGAGGATTTTCCATTTAAAAATATTTTTAAAAGCCATAAAGAAGTAGATAACTGGCCATCCATATTCAGACCACCTGGAATTAATTACTGTTAACATGTACATATTTTTATTCCAAATCATTTTATTGTATTTTTTAATTATACATGCTAAGCCTAGACTATACTTACAGTACAGAAAATGTACACATATGTTAAATTTTTGATCACCTTAAGTTAAAAAATAACTTTTCATAACATTCAGGCAACACTGGAATTTATGGTCTTGTGGTATATCTACAGAGAGAAGAATGTATATTTTAACTAGACTGTACTCTCCAGGCTGCACAAAAGAAAAAAATAATAAAGAATATATACGTATGTGTGTTTATGTACATATATTATATGAAAAGTAATAAAAAAGATATATCTATATGCTTTTATAAAATTGACCTTAGATTTTATTTTTATTTTACAAATATTCCATTTCATAGAGCATGAACATAACTTCAGACAAAGAGACAGAAACAGAAATGAAGGAATTACTGAACTCCTTCCTTTAGACACTTTTCTAAAGGAATCCACATGCTCTAAATTAAGTAGAAGATATTAAGATTTGGAGGTTTTCTTATGACTTTTTACAATCAAGTTGATTAAGGTGTGAGTTGAATATGGTACAATACATCCATTTCAAGTTCGATGATGTAGCTATTACTCCAAGGTCCTTTTGTGCCCTTTGCAGTCAGTCCCCCACCAACTCCTTGACCCCAGAAATCAATGATGGATGTAGTTTCTGTCACTATACAGGTTAGTTTACCTGTTCTAGAAATGCACCTTGATGGAGCCACACAGGATGCGCTCTTCATCACTCAGGATGTTTTTGAAATTATTCATGCTATCTCATGTTTCTGTAATGTTTCTCATTTTATTGCTGAGTAGTTTGGGTAGTTGGAGTAGATGGCAGTGTGTTCTGCTGCCAGGTGAGACTACGGTTCTGACTTGTGGGTCTCTGCGCGAATATGCGCAAGGGCACCTGGGCACTGGGAGAGCTGTTGACCTCCACAAAGTAAGCGTGTTACGTCCACAATACCACAAAGTAAGCGTGTTACGTCCACAACCCCACAAATTAAGTGTGTTATGTCCACAACTCAACAGGAACACTAAAAGCCCCAAAGGCTTTGTTTTCATTCTAAAGAACAGCCTGTCTATGTACAGTTTGTATCTGGTTCTATGAGGTGAGAACACATTCCTTGCTAGCACACTGTCGTGGGGGCTGCCGTTAGAAGCAGAGGCTATGTGAAGAGTGATTCTGGGGGATATGAGAAAACACAAGGTTTTCACAGAGAACCTGAGAAACTGGATACCATGAAGCAATCACTGATTACAAAAGGAAGAGAAGAGCTCTGCAACCACTTGGCATCTGTTAAAGAAACTGCCAAGGACGACAGCAAGAATGGTAACAGATCATAACTATCTGTACCCCACATTTGCAGCTCTAACAATGACCTCAGGCGCCATACAAGGTACCCACTGAAACTCAACCCTTTTCATTGCCCCCTGGATTTTGCACTACAAAGACGTAAGTGAAAAAGCTGGACACAGTCACCTGCTCCCACAGGTTATGCAGTCAAGTTTTCTCTCTTCGGGGAAACCACAGAAGTGAGCATATCTGAAGTGCAATGGATAAGCCTTCATCCTGAAAAACCAGCGTCAACACCATGATATGTGGCCCCCTAGGCAAGCACAACCTCACATACTTCTGCCTGACAGCCTCATACGCCTCACCCTTTACACACTCAGTGACTTGGCCCATGTACCCCAGCCCAGAGCCCTCCTAGCTCTGACACCCAGCTGGGACTCTCAAGTCCGACCAGCAGTCCTGGACTTGCTCCCACAACAGGGAACTCTTTCGTGGGGAAGGAGCTGGTGGTGAAGCAGCAGCCCCTGCGCTGCCTCATTTACATAGTGTCGCCCTACTCGTGATGTCACTGAGAGCGCCTTCCATAACTCCCAAAGTTTATTTTTATGTTTCTAATTTTTATGTCTCATGTTATGAAAAAAATATGAAAAGTTAAAATTTAAAATATTTGTAAGTAACTTTAAAAAATTCAAATATTGCCTGGTCCATCTTTATAAATTTGCCCACACACACGAAGCGTGCTGGGTCCACACCTGTGTCACAGCGGAGGACCCAGGGCTCTTCCTCGCCTTGACAATGTGTGCAATCCTGGCTGGGACGCCCCAGGTGAGCTGTCCACACAGGTCATCAGGGGAGGCCTCCTCAGGCAGGAGCTGGCTGAGCATCACGGGCAAATCCCACCAGGCTGTGGGCAGTTCTGAGGGAGGAGATGACCTGCTTCTGGCCTGGCTGTCATTTTGCTGCTTGTCATGGCATTTGTTGTTCCTTTCATGTCACATTTTTGTAGATGGCTTATTTCCTGGCGGAATGCAGGTGAACCGATTAGCAGGCACATCGCCTCCTCTGTTTGCTGAGCCTATTTACCCCTCCTGTGCTTGTCTGCGGTGACATCTCCAGGAAACCAGGGCTTCAGCTGTCACAGAGATCACCAAAACGTGGCCTTTCTCTCTGTTAATGATGGGCTAACTCTGCAGTTCGTAGGAGCGAAGAATACAGTTGAGGTGTATCTTCAAATTCTTACATCTTTTGACTTTTAAAAATTTTGTTGGCCAGGCGCAGTGGCCCACGCCTTTAATCCCAGGACTTTGGGAGACTGAGGCAGGCAGATCATGAGATCAGGAGTTCCAGACCAGCCTGACCAACATGGTGAAACCTGTCTGTATTAAAAATATGAAAAACATTTATTCAGTCATGGTGGTACACACATGTGATTCTGGTTATTCAAGAGGCTGAGGCAGGAGAATCACTTGAACCCGGGAGATGGACATTGCAGTGAGCCAAGATTGCACCACTGCACTCCAGCCTGGGCAACAGAGTGCAACTTCATCTCAAAAACAGAAAAGAAAAAGAAAGAAACAAAATGTTGTTATATTTCTTATGTGAAAACCCAAAATTCATAGATAAAGTTGGAAACCATCATTCTCTTCTTCATGCACCCAACCCATGGCTCTCCCGTCAGGACTTCAGGCCAACTCCGAACTTCCCATTTCTCCACTCCTCCTGACACAGCTGCCCTCTTCCTTCCTCAGCCTCCATCTAAACCCAGCGCTTCCTCTGATCCTCCACTTAGATTCCACATTCTTTCTTAAAATGTCGATGTAAACTCCGGCATGAAATAACCATTCCTGTCTCACCAATGGGGCCACAAGAGTTCATCATCCAATACTCTTGCTGTACTTGCTACATACCAGACCATGGTCTAAGCCTTTGGAAGTTTCACTCCATTCAGTGCTCGTTGCTGCCCTATTCTACCCATTTGAGGATGAGAAAATGAGGTACAGCAAGGTTGTCGCAATTGTCCATGACACACAGCTAGAAAGGAGTCAGCCAGGACATGAGCCTGGGCAGTCTGGCCCTTCTGTGTCCCAACCACTGCCCTGAGCTACCTCCTTCCCAGAGTCATTCCAAGATCTGAGCCCTCTCAGCCTGGGGAACACGAGGAATCCTCCCCCGATCCCTCTGTGTTTAGTTTGCATGAAATCGATGCAGAGACAGCCCGACGTTGGGGTTGAAAACCACAGGTACCATTTGAATTTGGTTGCCATCTCACCTAAAAGTCTCCTGTCTGTAGCCCAGGGCTCTCATTGACCTCATCTGTCTGAGAACTTTCCTGGCCCCAGCCCCTGCTGTGTGCTCCCCAGAACTGCTGTGTCTCTCACTCTTGTATTAGGGCCTCATGCCACTCCCCCTTGAGATGCCACAGCTCTGAGAGGGTGAAGCTTGGTGTCAATCTTCATCCCCCTGCCTAGAGCAGGCCGGGCATGGAGCAGGGGCTTATTTGTGAATGAACAATGATTAAATTAGTTATGTAAAAATGCTCCATAAGTGAATCACCACCTAAGCATAGCTACAGTAAGTTTAAGACAGCTTTAGTTATCATTGCTAGCTCTGTAGCCGGGGAAAGGAACTCTGTGAACTTCTCAGAATCCTCTTTCACCACCTAGAAATTGAGTGATTGGATATTATTGAATTTTCTTTCAATACTAAAATACCACAGTTCTATTCATTTTATTTCTTACAACAGTTTGGGAAGGCGAGAGGGATGGTTGCTTTTCTCTTTATTTCAAGGAAAGAGAGATTCAGAGTAATTAAGTGTCAAAGGTGACATGACCAGCGTGTGAGATGCATGGTGATACTCAGACAATCTAGATGATAAGATGAGACACATCAACACAGAGCACGTGGAGCGTTTGGAAACTAAGAACGAACCACAAGCTCTAAGCTGCATGGGAAGGCATGTCCCAGCATCACAGTGATGTGCTGGCTTCAGATCTGACTCAGTGCAGTCCCAGGAGTGGCAGCCAGAGGGATACTTGTGTTGCCCCTTCCCCAGCTTTAGACAGCTCAACGGAGAGAAAGAGACTGTTTGTTTGGAAGAAAGTGAGAAAAGAGGACAAGATTCTCTGCCTGTTCATCCAGACACTTCTTGCAGATCTTGTCCAAACCCACCAATGTTGATCTGAAGCCACGCATCATGGGGTTCCACCCACCCAAGGCCCGTTTTAACCACTACTTGGGTACTTTGTTTGCTATTTTCATTCAAGGCCCTAGGAACCAGCAGGTGACAAAGCCAGCCAGGCTTCTGTCCTTTCTTTCAGGGTGTCAGGTTCTTCCAGGACCCAGGAAGGTTCAGAGATGCCATAGAGCAGCCAGGGCCTGGAGTCAGAAACCTTACAAATGTACCTGGTGCTCCATTTTACTGCAGCTGAGCTGGCACCCAAACCTCACAAAAAAGTCCTTCTGACTCTTGTCTCCTCTTTCCACAGGCAGTGGAGTCTCTCCTCATGTTCACCACAGGGACACAGAGAGTACAGCCAGGCTGCTGCCCATGTCTGCCTAGCACCCAAGGGCCCTTCAGTCAGCTTGTAGTGAATACCACCAGGCCTGGGACTCACCCTTCAGGGCAGTGGCCTCCCTTTGACCCAGGGGAGGCCCACAAATGTCATTCAAGAGCCAAGGCCTGAAATCAGAGACCCAGACAGCCTATTTGGTGGTCTACCCTGCTGTGGGTGAGCTGGCCCTAAAACAAGCACATGTCAGAGTCTCACCCGAGGCCCATGGTGTACTGCCTGCCTGGGTATTGCTGCTGGTTCTTGAGGGCCTATGGGCTCTTCAGTCAGCAGGTGATAAATCCTGCCAGGACTGGGCTCTTCCCTTCAGGGCAGCAGGTTCTTTTCTGGCCAAGGGTGTGTCTAGATATGTAGTCCAGGAAATAGGGCCCGAAATGGGGGCCTGATGACTCTGCCTGGTGCCCTAGTCTGCTGTGGCTGAGCTGGTAACAAAGATACAAGAGCAAGTCCTTTTTCTTCTCTCCTCTACCCTTGTCAAGCGGTAAGGAGTCACTTTTATTGCTGTGAGCTGAACTGCCTGGGCTTGTACGGGGAGTGGTGTAAGTGCTCCCTTACCAGCTGGGCTGGTATCTTCCCAGGTCCTGGGTCCCCCTCATCCACAGGCTCTGAGCAGAGCACAGCACAGCACTAGGACTTGCCTCGGAATTTCAGTCCTGTGGCCTAGACTGCCTTTCAGGTTTATGTAGGGCCCCGGAGCACTTGAGCTCCTGGTGCGAAGCTTGCCAAAACTGAAGTTCCAACCCCTGGGATGGGAGATTCCCCCCTGGCTAGGGCTGGTGTACATGCTCTTTCTGTGGGTGCAGGCTGAGTTCTGCTCAGCCTTGCTTTCCACTGTGACAGGGCAGCACTGAGTTCCAATGCAGAGTCTGCAGTGACTGCTCTGGCCCTCCTCCAACGAACAAACTCTCCTGCTGCCAGAAGATGAGGAAGGGATGGTGCTGGCAGTTTAAGGCTGTCTTTCCTGCCCTCCTTAATGCCTCTTTCAGTGACATGAAGTTCAAAGGATGTACTCGGATTGCTCACCTGATTCTTGGTTCTTTACCTTTTGTTTACCCCTTTCTAGACACTATCGTGTCTACTTTTTGACATTCATTACTTAAGACTTCCAAAGTACACAGTGCAATTAAAAGCTGTTTAGAGTTACAGAAATAGGCTTAGAGGAGTTTATGAAAAAGCCAAGGTCAAAGTGACTGAGTTGAGCATCAAGGAGCCAAGCTTAGACGTACAAGGTTTCAGCAAACATGTTCTCTAGAACCAGGCTTTGCACAGCACCTGGCACCAACAACATGTTCAAATAAATGAATGAATGAATGAACCAGAAGGGTCCTGGAAGGAGCGGCATGGTCAAAGCCTGTACTTCCCACTCCACCCACTGACCACAGCACACTGAGGACCGTGGTTCAGTGTTTTATTTACTGACCCTCTCCTTCCTTGGACCTCAGCCGATTTCCCTCCCTGGGAAAAACTACCCACATCAAGTGGCTGAGCCTGTGACTGAGGCACAGTTCAGAGGCATTTGCAGGAAAGTGGCCTCTCGGGGCCTTCCCCAGAGCCACTACCAGCACAGAAGCCTGGACTTTGAGCTGCAAGCCCTGTTCTAGTCCACGCTTCCTCTGGCCCCTGCTTGCTCTAAGTCCAGATGGGGAACAGGCAGGTAGAAAAGGGGGAACAGAGTCAGGGGTCTGCTAAAAATACAAAATTAGCTCGGCGTGGTGATGCATGCCCTGTAATCCCAGCTACACCTGA